TATGTAAAAGAAATGTGCTTCCACAACCCGAACTAATATATTTTGATCTTCTGTGCGGTGGTAGCCCACCAGCGGCCGAGTGGTAAAGTTGCTGAACGCTGGTAGTTCGGTCCGAGGTTCGAATCCCACGAAAGGGCTGGCTGCATGGGCGTTATCGTGGTTTTATCCATGTGTAACATGTATACGAGCCAGTTTCCTTTAGAAAGTCCTCCATGAAGGCATCCCTCCCCTTATGCAGATAGCCCTTGAGGCTTTGCCGTAATTAAGTAACCTAAACTAACCTCTGTGCGGCAGTGCGTTGTAGTTCACCAAATCGTAGGAGATTTGATTTTTCTTCCAAATCTATTTTTCCATTTATTAACACAGTAAGCGATTTAAAAGCAATAAACGCCAAATCATTTCATTTATTATTAACTAGCAGCTACGCGGCCAGCCTTTGCCTGGCTTTTAAATGTATCGGAAAAGTGTCTGAAGGGAACCCGAAACTTTAAAAACTGTGCAGAATTTTATTCTGCAGAACGACTTCATAACACAAATTTTTAAAAAATGTATTACATATAGCAAAATTACAATGAAATAAGCAATATCCCTCAATACAAATATTTATTATCGTAATAAATAAAATAACTAACTTCCCGTTGCCTTCTCTCGACAAACGTCCAGTATGCAAGAAAAACATTGAATTTAAAAACTGCACAGAGTTATCGCCCTCATTTTCCCAAGTGGCAACAGTGCTGATTTTCAACTGTCAGCAGTCCAGTACACAATTGAATGAAAAACGGTTGCCATAAGTACATTTCTAAAAGAATGAAACTTTTCAAAGTGATGCGAAAAATCGAAAAGATGAAATAAAAAATCTGATTCGAATTTTGAAAAAAAATCGCTTCGAGATGCACATAGATGCACCTATATACCAAATTTCGCAGCCCTGGGGTCTATTCACACGAAAGAAAAAGACACTCAGACTCTTTCTTTTATTATATGTACAGACTACTAGTTAGATTCATTACAATCATCTACTATATAATGTTCGTTTGTTTCTGTGCATGCAATTCATACAAAGCTGCAGTTTTATTCCGATCTTGATGAAATTTTGAACACCTGACCTTCAAAACACGAGGAAGGTCTTTGTCTACATAAGATTTCGAAAAATCAGCCCATGGTGTCTACACTCAAGTCGTTTGTATTAGAATGCTGAGCTCCCGCTATCAATTTTTACTAAAACATTTAGAATGCACCTTTTTCATTTATTCTTTAGAACACTGTAGAACTTTCCAGAATAGTTTAGAATCTTTAAAGAAGAATTTAAGTGCTTTCTCTGTCAGTTTTCAGTAACTACTTCATAAAAGGGGAAGAATACGGCCAAAGTGTAAGGTGATTTTCCTAAAGCTAATTCCCCTTTTCTCCCCCCAAATGTATACAACAAAGCAAATAATAGTTTTTACTAAAACCGTTTAGCAAAAACTAGTATTTGTGACTAGTACACGCCATAACTAACATTACGCCGCGTTACGCGCGTTAATAAGATTTCCGAAAAACCTTTCCCCAACCCCCTTTGAAGCCTTTTCATTTTGCGTAACGTCGGGTACTTCAGCTAGCATCTGAATGTAACTGGATTAAGAATTTAAAAAAATAACTTTTAAGCTATAGCAAATTAGATGTTCTCTCTCATAAGTATATAATAATTTTTTAACTCGCTTGCGAGAACTGATCTATTAGGTTAATCGAAAATAATCTTGCATCTAAAGGTCTTTTTTTTACAAGAGCATAACTTCCATAAAAAATTCATTTAGAATAAACCACTCTTCATGAAAAGTTGTAAAATGAGCATAAAAGTCATAAAATGAATTTGCACCTGTCGTTTGGTTTTAGTGTTTTGATCTATCACCCGAGAACATAATTCAGCAACTTTTAATGCATTTGCTACATTTATTACCAAATAAAGTAAGTGTGCATGAAACATAAATAATCCCATTGTAAATAATTCCCCTCATCAATCGAACGTCAATTTTTTTCGCTGTGTTCATTCGGTAGATATAGCAGATGATATTTTTGGTTTTTTTAAAGAATTAGATAGGGGGGAAATTAACTTTACCATCTGAAGTTGCTTTACTAACATCTTCAATTGCACATTTCTTATTTGGTGAAATTCTTAAAAACATGGAAGATACATTTCTCATATCAGGAAAGCAATTGGGTATTTTATATAAATTAGTTAGCATGCAGTTAGAGTTAGCGAATTAACTTTATTGAACAGATTCTTGCACTTGTGGAATGACTTTGCAAACCCGGTTAGAAAATATCTGTTTGATAACTTGTAAAAACTTGTTAAATAATTATACAAAATATAAAAATGACAAAATTACTGTAAAATGTTCATATAAAAAAGTTAAAAAATTTACCAATTAATTTCAGTTAATAAGTCACAACTGTTTATTTTTATGTATGCTTCTGCATAAATTATGTATAATATGTAGGATGCGTGTATATGGTACAGCTTCAAGTTTTATGAATCTAGTTTTGATAGTGGAATAGGCCTGTAATTTGGGAATACCACTTTAAAAAAAACGAGCCTAATCACTTACCTCTTAGGTGGTTTGGAAAAAGTGATACAACATAAAATTGGAGCTGGCACGCAAATAGAAGGCTGTCCTTTTTATGAATTTAATTAGCATTTAATTTTTCGAAATTTTCTTGAAAGATTTATTTACAGTCAAAAGTCGTTAATCCGGACTCGTCGGGACTTCGGCGATTCCGGATTATCGATTTTTCCGGATTATAGATCATCAGTTTAAAATCTGGTAAGATGGCATGCAGAAAATTAAAATTAAAAAAATATGAAAACCGTAATTTATGAAACAAAGAATAGTTATGAATCTAAAGAGTATCAACAATTTACAAAAAAAAAAAAAAAAAAAAAAAAGCTTAATATTTATTTTTTTACTTTATTAAACATTTCTTTCAATGTAGGTTGTTTAAGTTGCTTCGTTTTATGTGATAATATTTTCTCTTTAATTCTATAAACAGACATAACTTCTTGTTCAATTACAAAGTTCCGCTGTTCAAGTCCTATAAATGCTGAGTCGAGAATACCGACTAATTTGTCAATCGAATTTTTTTCGTTTTCAATAACCTCTGTGTCACTTTCTTCACTATCGGAAGCGAATTATAATGAAGAGGAATTTGATTTAAATCATATCAAAGACGGAGTACATCGAGGTAAAATACTGCATTTAGTAAGGAATTATAAGCCAAATAACATAAAAACATCTGCCTTGAAGATAAGGATAGTGCTGACAGATCAACTTCTAATTCATTGCCGCCGCGGCGTTTCCCCCCCCCCACACCGCCGAGCAGCATGAAATTGATAAACAGATTTCGGAATGGTTAGAGAAACAAAGGATATGCCTTTATCCATTTTTTGCAGCAATTCCACTTTTTGTTTGATGGACATCGAAACATACTTTCGCTTTGTAGATCCTTTGGGAGCTCCAGCATCGGAAATTCTATTTGACATAATCGAAAGTTCAGCTACTTTTATAAAATTGCTCTAACAGTCTGCAAAAAATAATAAGCCGGATCCAATTCGAAGATTACGGAACAACGCAATCTGTAACATTAACTGAAATAGATAATTAGATAATTTTAGCTTATACCGTCCGTTATACATTAAATGCGCATGCGTAAACGTATTATGCGCATGCGCATACGCATGTGCGCAGCCGTAAAGGTCTTACGCGCATGTGTAAACGACTATGCTCATGCGTCAACGCGACGCATGCGCAGAAATTTTGTAGCTTTGAGGTCCGGATTATAGATCATTCCGGATTATGGGCGTCCGAATTAACGACTTTTGACTGTATAGTATAACATGCATGCAAGTTTATCTTCATACGCAAATTTTCTAGCATTTAAGGAATTTTTAATTCATTTCCCTGTTTTGACAAAATTGTGATATCCAAGTTTTTTTTAGTGAATGAAATTTTGAGAGATGACTATTGATATTTGTGTTCTAAAAATTTATATAGCTGATGCGATGGTAGCGGCATGGAGGTTTACAAAATATTCCGCCCTTAATATTTATTTTAGTATTAAGAAAATCTAAATAAATTTTACATTCATAAATCTATTGAATTTTTCCCCTTTTGTGGATTTTATATTATTTTGGAACAAATTTTATTTAGATTGAATAAATAGATTCCATTTTTATTAAAATTTCAGATATAAAGTTTGTATGTGGTGATTCTCAAAGATATTTTTAGTTACATAAACAAAGTACAATAGTTTTAAAAATTATTAAGGCTGTGCATTTTACCGCCTGTGAAAATATTACACTATGAAAAATTTAATGCAAGTCATGCTACCTACTCACGTTTATTAATTTTACTTATATTTATTTTAAGAGAAAACTATTATTTTCGGCGAGATAAACTTCGCCATTATAGTGAAGAGAAAAAGATCGACTATTTTGATCACGTGACCTTCCGAAACTGATTTCGCTTCAAGGCCATGATAGAGTCGGCCATGCATTCAAACTCCAAAAATTTCCTCCTGATCTTCAAACAATAACTTTAACTGTTTACATTTTAAGCATTATAATGCTAATATTAGTGATGTAAGAAACATCAAAATTTTAATATGCGTTTAGGTATTAAAGACAACTGATGGTTCAGAGAAAATTACTTACTAGAGTAATTAAATAATTAACACTAATCAAGTAGTTGATATTAAACAAATCAGAAAGATATATCACGAAGGAAGAAATAATTGGAATAATATTTAAGGTATGTGCCATTTTGCTATCACGTATTTATTTTTCTAATGATAATTCGTTTTAGATTACTTTCCTGTTAAAGTTACTTTCCTGTTACAGTCAGAATTTCAAAGGCGTTCCTTCTGTGTGATCATCTAGTATTGCGGCTAGCACATTCTTTACATTAGCCTTAATAATGTTTGTACGAAATTACAGAAGTACATATAAGGAAATTACAACGAAGTTATTTGGATGAAATGGACAATAAATGATTTTATTCTAAAACACTTGTATTATGCTGTACACGCTTTAAAATCCTTACATTCATTTGATGAAAACAAATTTCTAGAACGTGCAAAAGTCAATTACGAAATGTTGCAACCTTTTAGAATTTTTCTATGTCTCTTGTTTCTTGGGTAGCTTAAAGCAGTTAGGATTGCATCCACGAAAATATTCCTTAGTCCTTCCTATTAAAAGAATAATATCAAAAACAATAATCCATAATTATTACACAATTATTTAAGTGGCATTTAAAAAAAGGTCAAGAACTCAAAGAAATGTGACCTAAAGAAGCAGTTTAATTCTGACAGACATTTAATTCAGTTAAATGTCTTGAGTATTCTTAAACGTCTTGAGTCTTATTATAAACGTCTTGAGTTTTTTTTTAAACATTGAAATAAACTTAAAGAAGAGAAATTTTCAATAGCAATGCGTTTCGTCAACAATGGCAGAAATATATTTATTTAGTTAATCTTACAAATAATAAAGACTGCGCGGGATAAGAGAATGGAATAATTAGTAATTGTAAAACACTGCTGCATGCGTACAGGTTCGTAACAGATTGAATGCACAAAGAACCGATGATAGCTTGATGAAATTTATTTTACGAAAAGAAACACTTCACAGTTCTGGAACTTTTTACAAAAATCACGCTGAACTAACAGTTAATAACAGAAGCTCAGATCAGATGCTCTTTTTGGCTTTACATAGTTTTCACACGAACGCCGAGTTATTTCTCGTACTTTCTGCTTTTCGAAATAGTTGGAAGATAATATGACAGTCGAATTACAGCTATAGTTAATGCAAAGATCAATTACATTTTTTTCAATTACAATTCCTATTACGATGATGCAGGGGCCGAAGCAAAATGTCGCCAAGTTTGGTGACTATTGGCGATTTCTCACCAAATTTGGAGACGAAAACTAGTCGCCAAAATCGTTACCAGCTTAGCAATATTTAGCCAGTTTAGCGAGGAAACTATTTACTCAATGTTAAATATATAGACTTGCCCTTGTATTCTTACTTTTCCGACAAAGCATCGCTTCCTTAGATTTTCATGTTACATTATTAAAAAAATTTTACAAAAAAAAAAAAAAAAAAAAAAAAAAGAAGAAAATCTGAAAGGTTTCATATTTTAAATTAAGTCCAAAGGGGCGATTTTTTAACGTTTTGTGTGTTACCTTTATTTACGAAATATCATATTCTTCGCACTTAAACCATAAAATTCACTTCAAGAGCAATATCGCAAAATAATTTTAAATTGAGCTTGAGATAAAAATGTTTTTTTTTTTTTTTTTTTTTTTTTTTTCTGTACAACGTTGCCATTTCTGGCTGTGAAATCCTTGAGTTTGTTAATCAGAAATTCGTTAAAGATTTACAAAATATGAAATCGACAATAAAACAAATTCCAAATTTAAAATTTGGGCTTCGAGAAGCCCATATTCGCAGCAGGATTACGCCATTCAAAATAGGATGACTTTAGGTACCGTTGTTTTAACACAATGCGAGAAACATGCATACATTTATGCAGATTCTTCATTATTTAATTTCTTTACTATCATATAGGACGATAATATTTGGTGGCAATAGTTTGAAAAGTGATGCAGCCTTTTAAAGATTTCAATGCAAAATGCTGAAACGAAAACAATAGTCCCTCAGAGACAAAGCCCCTTTGGACTGATAATTTAACCAGAATTATCTAAACATCTACAAAATTATTAACAATACTATAATATATATTACGAGGAAATTTTCTGTCATTTTGTGTTTAAAATATTAACATGAATTCTGAATTATTAGATGCAGCAGCGGCTTTAAGGGAAGGTTCCAGGAGGACACAAAGTAGTGCCACGTACATTAAACAAGTTTAACTCGGGACATCAGAAAATACTTTTTTTCCAATTAGTTTACTAATATCTTTGATTTAGTTTTATTTTTATTTTAATCGTGATAATGAATAATCTTGCACGATTTTTTTTTCCCTTTTTACCGCCGCCCTTCTTGGCACGTCTGGCTAGCAGTTGGCATGTCCGAAGTTCGCATCCCGGTGACAGCTTTGGACAGTCTCCTCCTTTGATAAAGCTAAATGAAGCCCAAACTAAAAGCTGGTAGAGGATAATTCATCACCACCAGGTTTGGCGATCATCGTCTAGTCGATCACCCTTGTGGGGGAGAATGTTAGTTTTCCTACTTCCTTATCGTGTGTCTCCGTGATGTAACTGTAAAGCATAAATCCGAATCCGAGTAGAGGATTGCATAGTTTTTTATTTATTTCTCAGACAAATACCTAATAAATGCTACAACTTTTTCTATTAATTTGAATGACGTTTAGGTGGCATTCTTAAAATAAATCACAAATAAAAGTAGTTTATTTCTGTCTTCACATCTGTCATAAAACGTTATTTTTCTCATTTAAAACGTTTTTTTAACTGGAAGTTATTTTTAACGCTTATTTTTTAAATAAATGTTGTATAAAGCTTTATAGATACTGCCACTATTTAAACCACCAGAGTGCCAACGATACGTAAAATGCCACTCTGATGAAGAAAACGAAAAAAAAAAAAAAAAAAAAAAAAAAAAAAAAAAAACTGTTTACTGCCACTGTTTAGACCACCAAAGTGCCAACGATACGTAAAATGCCACTGTGATGAAGAAAACGAAAAAAAAGTTTAAAACGAAGTTTGTTTTAACACTTTATTAGACGTTAATGTTTTTAAATGAAAGATTTCAACGTTTAACTGCCACAAAGAAATTTTTATAGATTTAAAAAACTATACGCAGAACAAAGGAACTTATTTAACATAGCGTTTATTTATAGATAAAATTAGAAAATGATTAAAAATTAGATATCGGTGGAAAATTATTGAATGACAAATTTCTGATTATTGAATTTCTGATTTATAAGATTTCTTTCGCGTAAAAAGCCATGTAACTCTCTGAGCGTTTAAATTACTAAAAAAGACAATGTTAAAAAATTTTATCCAAACATAGGAATAGTTTTTCGCACATTATTGTTTACACTAATAAGTGTAGCAAGTACTGAATGTAATTTCTCTAAAATTAATGATAAATGTATCCTTCTGGTTCTTGTCAACAGCAGAATTTGTGATTGAAACGTTATTTATAAATGCAAACATATTTTGAACATTCTTACCGACTAAATAGCACAACAGAGTGTGGCAGCACATTGTTGAATAGAGGTGGACAAAACTGCTGTTTTATGGGATCGGACCAAAACCGTTTTCTTACTGAAATGAATTAGTTCCTTTTTATAACTTACTAATCACTACCAATAATCTTTACGAGAAAAATCCGATGAATCAAGAGCAGTTAAAGAGGATGGAGCAGTGGAAAGTTTAAAGGAATTAAACAAGCAGTGGGATCAGGGTAGGTTAGTGAGGCTAAAGAACGAAGAGTGACATCGGAAGAACTGAATCAAATGCTAACTCACGCTAATCAAATGCTGATTTCTTTCAACTGTAGTTTTAAGATTCCCTAAGACCTTCATTCTACACAGAACTAACCAAAGAATTCTGTCATAAAATTTTTTCAAAAAAGGGGAGAAAAGGGAAAATATTAAACTCTATTTTAAAATAAGAGAACAACCATTTTTTTCTTCCCTAAAATGGAAATCAGACTTTCCTGGCACGCTTTCAACGAGATTAATCACGCGTCAGCTCTCTCAGTAAAGTGAATCAAATCGTGAATAAGCGCATCTGTATTCCTGGCACGCTTCCAACAAAAGCTTTCCGTGAACAATAAAAGACCTAAAATTATATTTTCTGGAATTGGAGTAAATTCGCTTAGTAAAATGAATCGATTCTTTGAATCAATTCCGGAGCAAAGTTTCCAACTCTATTGTGGAGCAGAAGAAAATGAAAGTGCAGAATTTCTTGCAAAGAAGGAACGAATGTCGTCTCTAAACGTAGAAACCTTATGAACTTTCATTCTACTAAAAGAAATAAATATGGAATTTAACAAGATTTATCATTCGAATTCGGGCATATACGAGTAAGCTAAAAAAAAAAAAAAGCCTTCGCAATGTCAAGTAGAGCAGAGGATATCCTATCCTTTATTCTATTTACTGTGGCTTCATTCAGTCTTTTGACTGCACATTGTTGTCTCAATGGTCATCTCGTTTACATTACACTCAGGAAGTGTGCAGTTTGTTGTCTTTGTGAATCTCTATGAAAAAACTATGGGCAAAGGACTGTTAAACACTTGAACACTTGCACTCGAAGCCCGAATTTTAAATTTCTAAATCTTTATTTATTTATTCATGTTATGTTTTATTCGAGCTCAAAGAAATTTTGATTAATAAATTCAGTGATTTTCAAGCAAGGTGTTAACACTCGGTAGAGCGAAAGATATTTATATTTCAAGTTTCAAATATTTATTGTTAAAAAGAAATTAAAACTCTATAATAATATGTACATTCTGCACTTTTTAAAGCAAATGTCAAAGGTTTATAAATTACTCCACCGGCTGAAAAAAGTATAATAAGAAATATATGCAAATATGTGCGATCTTATTATTGTAAAATTTCATCATTAGCATTAGATTTATAATCTAATGTCTATCTATATTCTAATCATAATGCTATATGACGTCTTAACAGCATAAAGACACTTGTTGCAAAATGTTATTATATAGTACTTTGAAAATGATTTACTTTCTAGCGCTGATCAGAAACATGCTTTTACAGTGTAGAAGTTAGATGAAAAGACCTAGACTTCATCGGCTAACAATAAATTCTGATTTTCATTTTATATTTTCATATAAACTTAGATAAGTGAAACCAGTAACATCCCTTCAAGGTGTTAAAAAACACAATTTTTATATAATTCTCCGTCTGATTAGTTAAAAAAATTTCGATAGAAAAAGAAACAGCAAAATTTATATTTGAGATATTGTTTTGACAAATGCTGAATATTGTTTACAATATTGGAATTGAAATAATAATTATATATATAATTATGGTATAGGACATATTAAAAACAAGTGCAAATTGTCAGAACAGAAGAAATTCTTACAACTGTAACATAAACAAATCCTACCCGAGTTTTAGCTGAACATTCAACATATTTCACAGCTTTCAACTCCTTTGCCAATTTTTCTCCCTGATCATACGTAATAGGCTTCTGTCTACTTTTAGCTAATTCTTGTACTATCTTCACGTCATCTCTTAAATCAATCTGAGTTCCAACTAAGAGAAAAGGTGTTTCCTGGCAGTGATGAGTAATTTCTGGAATCCACTGCAATATCAAAGTAGTTCCAAATTAAAAATTAATCAGCATACGATGCTAATTAAGCACTTAATACACGGAAGTTAGAGCACTTTTTGTTAGAGCACTCTGGTTTGTTGATCAGTAAATTAGTAAACAATGCTAAATATACGAGACCTGAATATGTGCCTAAAAACAAAACCTTACTTTGCTGTATGTACCCTTTGAAAAACGCTCTCTCGATTTTGAAGGCAATCAAATACAGGTCCCTCCTCTTCAGGAGTTTTTTTAGAAAAGCAAAAATGAACACAGCATCATCTATTGACGAAAATAGGAAATAATCCTGTAAAACTAAGTTATTAGAATTTTGAAAGTGTTACGTATTGGAAATAACGTCATTAAATACAGAAGATACATTTTTGTGAATGTGAAAAGCTTCTTATGGATAAGTTTTGAAGAACAAGAATAAAGATTGTGACTAAATGCCCAACCATGATTAGCTGTCGAAGATTTGTTTATTTTTCCTTTTCGAACATAAGATTCGTAGTTCTTGAAATTTTAGCTTTTACTTAATATTATGCATTGCAAACCACTCTGACAAGATACGCTATCAGTGCCCCCCCCCAAGAATTAAAATTAGGTGCCCTTAAGAATTGAACACTGAATAACTGTCAAGAGTCAGTGTTTAAAATGCAAATTTGGCAAAAAGTTGCCAAACTTGATATTTGGCGTTTTTACAAAACACTGAGCAATTCCGTTAAAAGTGAATTTTGTCAGTAAAAACTAGAACTGCTTTCGAAAAAACTACGAAAAATTCGTAAAAAATTGGCAAATAATGATTTACTTTCTCTTTAACATTCTCAAAAGAAGAAGGTGACGCAACAGAAAAACACACAAGGAAAACGTCTGTTTGGGGATAGGATATTGGTCGGAGACGATCATAATCTTCTTCCCCTGGCGTATCAAACAAGCAATTAACATAGTTTTCTTTGCCAACAATAAAATCAAGGCCACAACATTCCTGAACCTAAAAGAGGAAAAAATATATTTTTAAATTGTAAATGTTTTATTTCGAAGTTTGGTAATAAAGTTATACAGAATTTATATATTTGAACATAAACATCTAAAAATATTACAACATATTAAATCAAATTGAAATGAAAGTTTTCTGGAACTCAGAAGCTCAGAAAACGAGATAAACGTAAGACTTTGAAGAGGAACCCCAAAACAGATAGATTAACTATTCAGCAAAATAAGCACGCTCTTAGGACATCTAAGGAAAAGGGCATCATAAAAATGTGTTTAGCGACTCAACAAAAAAGAGTCACCACAAAAATTTCCCATTGCTCATTATCAGTTTTACCATGAAATATATGGTACAGCTAAATCAAGATCGAAAGAGCAGAAATGGAGAGACAATTGGCCTAAATGTATGCGAAGGCAGTAAAGAATTTCAAACGTTTACGGCCTTTAAAAGTTTTAAACAGAACCTGCTTTTGGACAATCATAAAACGTAATTTCGAGACTATTGAATCGATTTGTTGGAAATTGGGAATACTGGACGAACCAGAAAAGGTCATAGGTACGCACCAACACAAAGCGAAGGCAGGTGTTTTACACTACTAATCAAAAAGAAATCGCACTATGAATACCACTCTTTTGCAAAAGCACATTTTGAGGACTACAGTCACCAGTATTTCAATTGGAATTATTTGAAATCGCCTCTGCAGCCTTGATTTGTGCGTTCACAATCCTGTGGCTTATGCTTTCTTCAACAGCAGGCCACTATGCTACCGTAGGAATATTGGACAAGAGCCATCTTGGAGAGTGGAACAAAGTTCTGTTCCCTGATCAGTTTCACTTTATGCAGACTAGATGGTTTCACTCAAACTTTATGGTTTATAATTTAACGAGAATGTGGCCCTTTGGATGCGTAAATGAGTGTTGATTTGAAAATGGCGAATTCTTGTTCTTGGCTGGTACCTCTGTGAATGACTATCCAACCAGTGCATGACGAAAAATGGATAACTGATGTTTGAGCGATATAAGGATGAGATCATCAGAGCTTTCGTAGTCTCTTAACTGCAGCAATAGAGGATGAATTCAGCCTCATGGAAAATGACGCTAAAGTACATTGCGCTCGGTTAAAGCGCGGCTTCATTTTCAATGAAGGAATCCTTCAGATGTAAACTTTGCACTCTGAGAAACACTCAGCAACCGGAAAGCGCTCTTATACAATAATAGGAAAGAATACTTCAGTGCCTCCATGATAGTTTTTTTGATTAGTATAAGCATCACAAGTTTGTAACATTGTTTTCGAATCATGGAAAATCATATTTAATATTAGAAGTAATATTATCCCAGAAATACCCCTTTTACCTTAGTTTTTATGAGAGGAACAAAAAGTGAATATTTTTATTTTCCGAATAAATTGTAATTAATGAATACTAACCCCGAAACGAACTGAGCCCTTTTCATAAATAGTTATTCACTTTTATAAATACTAGTTAAATAAATTTTCAGAAATTCACTTCAGAATTTCTAATCAGATGTTTTAACATACAACGAAATTTTGTTAGTTGATTTAGTTTGTGGGCATTTATTTGATTTACTTAATAGTTATTTTATTTTGAAGCAGCCTTTCCTATCGCTCTTGCTTTAAACTCACACTTTATTGCCAGAATGTAAATGATCTAGCGAGCATGTATTCAAATGAGGTTAAAAAAAGTTAGTATTTAAGGGAAGGTTTTGGAAGGTGAATTCAGAGCGTGATCTGGCTGTCTGAAGGTCACGTTATTATATTTGATTTCCTAGCGATTAGACTTCTGGGGCGTTGAGCGCTTCTTGCCATTAAGTAGTTTACGCCGACTTTCGAATCAGAGCGAGCTTGCCCTTTAATGAACTTATGAAGCCGTTGGATTAAATTTAATTTTCATTTAATTTTTAGTTAGTTATTACCTTTTTCAGTTAATCCAAAGTGTTAGTTTTATAACCACTAGTTGGTGCCATCTGTGAACTGTAATTGAGTTAATAAAGCTACACACTTTCTCCTGACTTTGTCGTACTTAGGGATAATTCCCTAAGTAGTCTTCTAACATCTAGCTTAGTTTATGCTACCAAAACATATGAGACGTTATAATTTCATTAAACATTGTACGCAGTTAATATTAAACAATGCATGCAATACCAATACAGCCATTGTATACAATTAATACTACAAATATATTGCAATATTTTCACAGAGAAATATTTGAGGATCGGATTTAGGAGCAGATTCTGAACATCCATCGGAAGGCTTTTGCTGTATATTATACGAACTATTGTTTTAGCTGTCAACAAAACAATAGCAGGGAACGCGGGATAGCTGTTTCCAAACCGTGCTAGACGGGCACTTGCGATAGCGTTTTTCTTAATAATTCTATATAGTGCCATCCTTAGAGGAAATAATCAACTTTAGGAGACAATAACCAATGGGACAAAGTATTTTCTTAAAAAAGAGACTACTTAGAAGGAATGTAGCTATAAATGTCATTATTTTAGAATATTAAGGTAAGAAATAGAGAATAAAAGTTAGCATTTCACCTTTACTATCCTATAAACTCAGAAGCTATGCATATATGATAGCTCATAATGTACTAATATGTAAATTACATTTGATTCTTTTATAAGAGGATAACGAACGGTAACATATTCGCAAGCGTAACCTGTCATAGGTCACTCTTATTATAACATTTTATCTCTTATTATTCATCTCTTATCGAATTATGAATACATCCATCGTTTTGCAAGCTATCTTGCAATCAAAATGCTTTGTGTGGATGATACTAGATTTAACAGATCACATCTCATAATGTTCATCTCTCCGTAACGAGTGCTATTACGTAAGTGGCATTCTACGACCAGTCACACTTCTGTCCCTCTAGCATCTACCCGGCGTAATTTTCTAGTAGAACAATGCCACTCTTCATATTCCAACAACAAAAGCGAGCTTTCTTCAAGGTTAATAATGCCCTCTTTCTCCTTCGTCTTCCTAGATCACCTAATCTATTCACCATCAAAATATGTAGAGTACAATCGAGGGAGAAGTAATGAGTTTTCCTGAAAACACATGTCGCACTTTTGACGCAGAATGCAACTTGTGATGGCTATTTTTCAAGACTGCATGAAAGGTTTTAAATTCAGTACTATCGTGTATACAACTATAGAGACATTAGGTCTTTTTTGAAAGAAGACATGAAAATGAGCAATGCCCTCGCCGGAACTCCATCCACGGACCTCTCGATACGCGCCGAGCGTGCTGACCACTACACCACGAAGGCATGCTAAGAAGGCGGGAGAAATACCTTATACAACAAACAATATAAGCTAGAGGAGGACATATAGAAAGAGAATTGCATTGTTATATATAGTATAATGCGTATTAATTTGAAATACTAATGATTTGTTCCATGTTATCTACTTTGCAAATCCTGTAATTATAACCGTCTTAGTACTACTAGTGGAAGCTCTGTTTTTTTAAAAAAAACTCTTATCAGATGGCTTGAACTCTTACGAACTCTTATGAGCTCAGTATTGTAATACAGCACCCTTCATGTTACCATATCGATGAGAAATAAATCAAATGATCTTAGTGGCCAAAGAAGAAGTGGGACATTTTTAACTCTAAAGAAAGCCCACTTCGTTGTTGCAATATGAGAAATAGCATTGTTTATTATAAAGATATTACAAGTAATAATTTTGATTCGTCTTTATGTTTAGATTTAAGAAAAGTATCTAGATTTAAAAGTCGAGGTAGTATAACGTCGAGAATCAAGCAGAGCCTGTGAAAAGTAACAGAACATAACGTGAGTAATATAAAGATCGTGATAGCATAAAATTGCGCCTTTCGAACTATGCAAATTCTCCAACCGTATTCGAAGGCTTCATGAAGATAATTTTATGAGGCCTATTCATATACAAAGGGGAATAAGAGTCATTAGACATTCTAAAATCTCATGAAAAATTAATGAAACGAAATTAACGTAGAAGGATAGGGTTTGGACCAAAGTTCATGTCGTAAATTTGGATTTTATTTGAGGAAGAGCACAATTTCGCCAATAGTCACGGCTGCGCTATCATGCCGCACTTCGGATGAATTTTATTGACAGAAAGTTTACTTGAATTCTGTATAACTCCTTCTTTAAAAAAGCTTTACATTCTCAAGCGTTCAATGTGTCCTTCACTATAAAAAAATTATATTCTGCAAACAAACGGTCACACTTTTCATCAATGCGTTAAACAATATTTGGATTGAGGGAAATATCTTCACGGCGGATAACATTTTCTGATTGAGGTAGAGATGATGGATGCTGGTGTACAGCTGGAACTTCATACAACACCGCTACTAAAAGTTCAGGAGCGTCAAGTCCAGCGATCGACAAAACCAGGAAGTAAGACACCAGCAACTAATAGTCACTCCTGTCCAAACGCCCTTACAACGAATTGTTCCAGGGGGCCTGCTATATGAAAGAGTGTACAATTTTGCATAAATGTGGCAGTCTGTATGAGATTTCATTTCTTCAAGCGTGGTACCATGTTCTCTCGAAATATTTTCAGGTAATTCTATCCTTTCACGGAGCACATTTTCCAGCCATGCTCCGTGAAACATGCTAGTAAGCGCGTTGCACATAGTTCTTCAAAAAGAGAATGCGCATGAGAGAGGATATCATGAAACCACTCCACAGACTGATTCTCAGCGAATTCGAGTCTACCAAGTTCATTAGTACAGAGGTTTCACACAGTGAATTAAAACTGTTACGAAATCACGAACTGATAACGTTAGAGAGAGCTGAGTAAGAGCGCTCGAGCGATGTAGATGTTTTTATGATTTTAGAATGGCGTAATTTAACTACAAAAAATAAGATTGTCTGTGATTTCTTGAACAATGCAAATAGCGTTCTTTGATTGTGCTGCTAAAGCCTGTCTGCGTTGTCATACTGTTTGCGCAGGATTGAGTGGTCAAATGACAAGCCAAACGATGTTCTAACATTGGACCTCAAAAGACTAAAAACATTTTTTTCGCTGCAGTGGAAACATATTGAACCTTGGCAGTGAGAAATACTATATAATGGAAATGACTGTGCAGCATTTACGCAAATTTTCTCTTGTTGAATGTTATTCAAAGGGCAGTGCAGTAAAGTTTGTCGATGAAATTATGATTTCTCTCCCCCCCCCAAATGTTCAGATTTCCAAGTTTGAATCCTGGCAAGGGTATTGTATATTTTTCATACTTCTTGCTCTAAAATAAAGCTAAAATCTCTAGAACTGATGTCCGAACTAAAATGTGCTGGACAATATATCGTGTCTGCCAGGATCAGGGACTGGGCTTACTCCTCCTCAGTCGCCCTTTAAGTAGAGAAAAATGTAAGAAATTCTTATATTTATTAATTTACAATATAAGGAATTACATTTACAATGTAAGAAATCCTTATATTAATCTCATTTCTTACCGTCTGTGTCTTTGCGGTGTAATCGGAACCACATCCGGCTGGCAATCGGAAGTTCAGAAGACCGGACTCCGGCGAAAGTACAGCGTATTTATGACATTTTCAGCTCTAAAAGTTTTAAATGATTCTACAAGTTGATTCATATTTTTATGAATTTTCAAAATGCTTATGTTTTTTGATGCACTCATTGTATAAATCATACTATAGAATATAAATTTATCCTTGCTTATCATGGATTACCCGCTACTGTCTTGAGCGGTACAAATTTTATACGTTAATTATCTTTTACTTTTATTCACCAACTGTATTAGTGTAGTTGTTTCAAAGCTTGAAAGTCAACTTTATTGAATATCTGAAAAACAACAACCATTAAAAAATAGCAAGTGGCTGTGGCAGTGGTATTTTTTAATGACACACAAACACTAAAAAATACCACTATGTATACACTTCTGCACTGTTCAATATTTGAATAAATTTAGAAAACTTTTAAGTTACTTACAGCAGGAACATATTCAGACGGAAACTGATTCATTGAATATGAAATTAGAAGGCACGTTTTTCCGACATCCTTATCTCCAACTAATACGCACTTGATATGCTTCATGATTTCCCCAGTTTCGTATGGAATGATATCAAAAGTCCAGCACAACAGTTTACATATAATAATAATCAGTGATATCCGCTCTAAAACTGGAAAACAAGAAGAATACTTAACTTCTGTAAGCCCTGTATTATAAATTTCTAATGAACGGAAAATGTTATTTTCATTTACCACATTTTATTTCAACAAAAATTATGCAGTTAAAAATGAAGTAATATGAATTAAATAAAATTTTACTCGTAATTTAGTTTAATAAAAATTATAACACAGTAATTAGGTTATATGAAACTACACACAATAGAGCTAACAGAATGTTACTGATTTTAGTTAAACTCAATATTTTGAGAGAAAATTTCTTGTACAGAGAAGAGATTGATTTAATAAAACCAAATATATTTAATCTCTTAGGTGCGTAGCGTTCATGGCTAAAACAAAATAAAACTGTAGACTTTTTTTTTGTGTCTGTTTCTTGGAAAAGCATCCAAAGATATTTGGTTAAAGTAAGTTGAACACTGTCATAATTGGTGGTATTTATGCTTCACACATGAGAAAATCGTGAAAGCCTCTATATAGGCAGCCTATTCACCGGAATTCGAACCCTAAACAGCTACTGATGTTTAATAGTCTTACCTACCGATGCACTCATAAGAGGATGTCATACAGCAAGTAATTGCCTGTACTTTTGCAATTTACATATATTTGGAACATTTTAGGCCAATTTATTTATAGTACATAATAATTTTAAGTTACTATAATAACTTTAGTTTTATAATTTAATGAACAGATTTGCACTGAAACTGTAATAACGTACACTTAGAATTCCAGAAACTTCTAAAAAATACATAACTTATAAAAAAATTTAAAAGCGCGTAAGTAAACTAATAGCAAAATTGATTTTGTTTGGTTTAAAAAGCAAAAGCTAATCAGGCAACTCGAGTTTCAGACGTTTCGACTTAACTACAAAAGAATATCTAAAATAAGAAATAAGAAAGTAGAATATCTGGAATTCTAAGTGTACGTTATTACAGTTTCAGTGCAAATCTGTTCATTAGATTAAAGAAAATAATCTTCATGTTGGAAGTAATTCTCTTCAAGATAGATTAGCATTTATTCATTATAAAATAAACGGCATTTGCCTCATGAAATTTATTATTAAGGATATAAACGAATGAGCTGAATCCCCTCGCTGTTAAAATCTTAATTCAGCTCACGGAATAGTTTGCATTGAGATGGTTTATCTTAAGTATATCCATGATTTCTAGATAAAAAGATACCGAATCTGCTGTGACAGCAGATTCTGCATCATTACTACTTGATTTGTAATTTCTTGAAAATTTATCAAATTAATAATTCAAACATAAGCGTATTCGGAGAACTATAGAATGTTAACATACTAAAACAAGAAGTATTAAAGTTAAGTAATACTTTTTAGAAATGCATATAAAATTAATGTAAGCAAAACTGAGTAGAAAGTTTTATATGGTGTAAAATAATTTTTCGAAATATTTGAGTTTTTCTGTGTATTGAAAGAGCTGCTAAAACAAGCTGCTGATACAAGACAGATTAAAAGTTTGATAATTTGTAAGACTTATGCACATTTAGATATGTTGATTCATTAAGTTTATTTCGGAGTTGAAAACATGAAAATGACAGCAATTTTTCATAAAACTTCGAATTCCACACCTCTCGATTAACAGCCGTACGTGCTTTCAATGACACCACGAAGGCGCTTGGTACGAATGGAGAGAATTCTTACAAACAGACTTAATTCAGAACATTGATTAACCCAATTTCGGGTTATTAGGATTTGTTACGTATGCAAGTTTTAACTGCAGAAATAGAGATAGCTAAAATATTTTAAAAGATTTGTGAATGGAAGAATAACAAAATTCAATTGCAGTTAAAAGAAATTTGCCTCAATTGCACTGACTAAACATACAATTAATTAATACGAGATATTCAACCCGTTTTAAATTAAAGACTTCATAACATTCCAAAAAATACCGCTGAAAGTCGCTGAACTCTGCTAGCTCGACTTGGGATCTAATCTCTGCGAACGGGCTGGCTTCATGGTTGGTTTTCGTCGATTTTCCCATGTGTAACTTGGATACAAGTTTCCCTTAAAAAGTCCTTCAAGAAGGCATTCCTACTCATAGGCAGATAGCCCTCCAGTTGCTTTGCCTTAATAAATCTTATAATAATATTAACCAATCCAGTTTGGCTAACTTAACCTAACCAAAAAGCTAATAATTTCAATAAATCCAAATTGATAATCGTCAGTAATTGTTCAGAATAATAATCTTTATTCATTTAGATTGGCTAACCTAACCTAACCAAAAAGAACATTAACTAAGCTGATATTCTCTCACTTCTGTGAAAATAGCGATCAAAGAAAGTAAAATTAAAATATTTTTTTTCTTTCCCGAATAGCAGAGTAACAAAACTAAACGGAAGCTAAATGAATATGATGCAACTTGCAATAACTTAATAACACAAATTTAATCAAGAGAAATTCATTCTGTTTTAGCTTAACGAGTTCAGAGCTTTCCAAAAAAATTTCTTGACTAAGCTAAAACTCTTACTTACCAGGTTTAAGTACCACACATCAGATCAATTGTGAGTCACAGGCAAGCGCAAAGTTGGAATTTATCACAGTATATTAGTTTAGCGGACAAACTTTTCTAGTGACCTCTCCACAATCATATATGGGCAACCGACATAGGCAAAGTCATCCAAACCTGGGTATTATAGGTGAAATTTTGTCCGTATTTTCTTTATCTTTATTCACTGCGAATACCAGATAATAATAGTTTCACTATGCCAAGGTCTTTTAATGATAATTCTCATAACATTCATTCATTTGCTTAATACTATCTAAGGCTTTTTTAGTTGACAGTTGTCTGTAATTTTTCGTCTCTCTCTTTATTCGTTTCTAATATCACATAAAAATGTTTCACGATGCAATTATTTTAGACTGAATACCTATACTGGTAATGCTAAGCGTTTATCTAAACAATCCTTTTTCCTTGCAGGAAAACACGATGATAAAGATAAGATAACACACGCCTTCCCAGCAGTTCAGAAATCGACCTGTTTTGCACATTGCGTGAATTAAGTTCGTTTCACAATGAATCCAACAGTTCACTCCATATTAAATGTCATTCGAACTATTATCTGTGCAACAAAAGATATTTCCGGATAATTTGCAGTAGCATGGAAATTATACACATTAGTGTTACACAATATTTTAAAATAATCAGCATCATTTTTATGTAATGTTAGAAGAATTATTAGTCCAAAGAGGCTTTGTCCCTGAGGGGAGACTGTTTTCGTTTTGCGATTTTGCGTCGAATCACTCTGAATGTCAGTTTCACTTTTCAAACGGTTGCCACCAAATATGATCGCTTTGTATTATATTTGAAGAAATTAAATAATGAAGAATCGGCATAAATGTATGTATGTTTCTCGTATTGTGATCAAACAACGGTACCTAGAGCCGTCCAATTTTGAATGACGTAATCCTGCTGCGAATATGAGCATCTGGAAGCCAACATTTGAAATTAGTTTTATTTTCTATTTCATATTTTGTAAATCTTTAAACGAATTTTTGATTAACTAATTCAAGGATTTCAAAGCGAGCAATGGCAACGTTGTACAGAAAAAATATTTTTATCCTCAGCGCGTGAGACTGTGTATCGGAAATTCTAAAGATATGTTCAATTTAAAATTATTTTGCAATATGCTCTTGAACTGAATTTTATGGTTTAAGTATGAAGAACATGATATTTAATAAATAAATAACACACAAAATATTAAAAAAACGTCATTTTGGACGTAATTTAAAATCTGAAACCTTTCAATATTTCCCCCCCTGCAGTGTACCTTCCCTGTTTTGTTTCCTTTATATTCTATTTAGACATATCTGAAATGACTGCCCTAAAAATATCTTCATTAGTTTGAAAACGTTTGATGTAAATTAGAACCATTGTTAACGTGTGGTCAATACAATTTATGAATCATTAAACTATTGGCAAAGATGATTTATGCTGAATTAGTTTCATCTAAAGTGGCAAGAAAATAACTGCTTTTACCAACAAAACATACATTTTATTTACAGCGTTGCAGGATCGAAAAGTGTTTACATACTGCTTATTGACTAAAGTATTAAACACTGTTACCAATCCGCAGTAACTAAATGCTGATAAGAAAAGAGGTGTGGCTTATTACTAGCCAAAAGCTTTCTCAAAAAGGATAAGAAGCATTCAATTTATTACGAACCTATTACGAACCCATAGGCCTGCAACATTATTGTTACAAAATATTAACGGAGAAATCACGGCTGTGTTTCCTTTTGTTTAGGATTTTATCATCACATCGCCGTTCCGCAACTGTTTTCAAACATAATGGCATCACAGCGGTATCTCCATAGCCAGCCCCTGCTCCAGAAATTTCAGTGTTATAGGCGATGATTAGAATTACAAATGGGCTCTGCTTCCCAACGATCATGTATTTTACAGAGCACTGAAACAGCAATGCATTTCGAGAAAGGTAATAAAAAAATTCTGTCATCCATTATTTCGCGGAACTCCTACAGGTATAACACAACACGATATTGTCACTGTATTTATGTTCAAAACTGATGGAAGCTTTCTTTGCAGTTTCAAAGATCTTGATCAAATGTTATTTACTGTGCTATGTCTGCAGTCGTGACTAGGAAATGGATAGATGAATTAGTCAAAAATAGTATTAGTTTTAATGATCAAAATTCTGGTCTTTCTAATATCTTAACACATTATGCTGCGTAGCGGGCTAATTTGCCAGCTAAGCGAAATATATGCGTGTGAAAATAAACTTGATAGACGTAAAAGTAATGGTTAGATTTTTGCAAAAAACGCGCCAAGCTTGAAAACGCGCCAAGCAGTGGGCGATTTTGCACTTTCTCCCATAGGTAAAAAAAAAGTATGCAAGCAAATATACAGTTTATTTAAATCCTTAAATAGTTACAAGTATATATACAATATATATATACTATATCGCCGTTAGCGGTTTATTTTATAGGATATATATATATACAAGACAATATACTAGTTTATAAAGTTTGGTGTAGTCAAAGGCTAGTTCCTAATATTTTTCTTGAGTGTGATATTTGAAGAAACAATCTCCCCGATGCAGCGAAACTTTACAAAATTCACACATATAACACGTTAAACTTTTTTTTTTTTATGTGCGGCACATACGCGTGACACTGTCTTTGAGGTTTCAGTTTTTTGTTCCACCAGTGGTAATTTTAACCAATTTATGCCTTTTGGGATCTTTTGATAACCTCCCTGGAGGATCACTTCTGCTGGACGTAGCGGATGTACCTTGTACAGGATCATCTGTATTGCTAGGAAGAGCTTGGCTAATCCATTCCTTTGCAACATCATGTAAAAACATCTTATACTTTTTTCTGAATGTGGATTTAATGCTTTAAAAACTCTAAACGCATTAAATAACGCACAATTGATAAAAAACATTACAGCTCGTTTCGTCCATTTTTTTGTACGACGCACAATCGAGTAATACGATAAGTATTGATCAGCGCGATCAACACCTTTCATGTATTTATTATAATCAATTACACATATCGGCTTCCAAATTCTTTGTTTTGTTGCCCAGTCAATATTATGGCTTTCCGCAATGTCAGCTGAATGTATAGTTGAAATCATTCGGACTGTTCTTTTTGATTGCCAACATTGTAATAAAATATTCTGGCGGCGACGAAATATAGATTCCCCCTTGCTAGTTAAGGATTTTTCAAACAACTGGGAAGGCCTCTGTTTACTCGAATAGTGCCGCAAGTCCGAAAACTATTCTCTAAAATTAATTCACAAGTGGCAACACTATTGCGATAATTGTCCATGTATATGTGATGCCATAAGTTGGAATAGGGTTCAAGCAGATTTAAAATCGTTTCTTGCAAACGACTTCCTTCACCACAGTACATGCGAAAATTACAAATGTATCCCGTTTTAGCTTCACACACCATTCTTATAAGTAAACCATACTTTATAATTTTTGATGCATTATAAACTTTAAATGACAAACGGCCCCTCCATGGCATGATGCTCTCATCCAGTGATAACTCTCTCTCTGGCTTATAAACCTCTTGAAATTTAGGTAAGAAGTAAGATATAATCGGTCGGATTTTTTTCAGGCGATCTCTGTCATCTCTGTCATCATTATTAGAGAAATGCCACGCATACCATATCTGTCTAAATCTATCCCTGCTCATTACTTCCGCGAAAATTGGAGTTTGGATAGTTTTATCTGTAGACCAATATTCGTCTCTTGTATCTTTACGAACTCGTCCCATTAGGAGAAGTATTCCGAGCATTTTTTTTTTTTTTAATCTACCATATTCACATCCTTCCACTTTACAGATTTTGCTCTCTCTCGAAATGCATCTGGGTTTTGTTCGCGATACCGATTGGTTTCCGTTGCCATATATTCAAATAAGTCATCTCCAATAAATAGCTTAACCACATTTATTACACTTTCTGAATTATCTGGCATTACAAAAACTCCGCTTTGTCCGAGGAATTGTTCAATAATTGGTGCATTATCAGTTGTTGACCATTGTTGTTGCTGACTTTGACATATGTTGTTGACTTCGTCATCACTGTCTTCGGAGTCGCTAGATGATGGTATTGGCAAAACTCGATTTCTTCTAGGTCGAAATAATTCCTCGTCACTTTCACTGTCTAAATCAGGAAATTCCACGTCACTTGAAATCTGCGACAAGTCATCTGCATATACATCATTATCACTATTAGAATTCGTCGTCTTTGAATTGAAGGTGGTATCAACCGCCCACACAATATCAACGTTACATCTGTCTCTTTCTACGAGCTGCTCCACTGATACACTATAAACATACAACATCGCATAAAACTAATTTGTGGAAACACGTGGCTGCGAAGAATATTATTGGTTAAAATATAGATAGACGGAATTTTTTCAATCTCACTTTACGTTCTTTGAGACGTAGTCATATATTTGATAAAACATTATTTTTCCCTTGTGTCACTTAAAATTACTTATTTTACGGGTACTAATACCTGTCCCTCTTATAAGTGGCAATCCTCGCAATGGGTACTAATACCTGTCCCGCTTATAAGTGGCAATCTTCGCAACGGGTACACATACCTGCCCCTCTCATAATGTATTAATAGGGGCTGATACTGCGAGAAAGTTAATGGACGGCGAAATTCTGACTTCTAGCTTCGGGATTTGAGGCACAGAGACGAAATTAAGCTGAAATATAATGCATAAAAATAGCGTTTCAGAAATTTCGAATAACTCAACACTCAAAGAAACTTAATGTAAGTCTTAATTACCTACCAATGCAAGAACATACTTGCTGTAAGTTAAACTTTAATGGGTGCTTTCCTTGAGATTAACAAAACAGATGAATATGATATATCAGCCTATGACATGTGAGGGCAAAACATATAGATGAAGATGTATAACGGGTGATTAACTTGACTGGTATGTCGACAGGTACTTCACTACAATAATTTCAGACGATACTTGATATAAATGCTGTTTGGAACATAACATTCTGTTAGATCCCTAATCTCATTTTAGTCTTCGGCAGCTCTGTTCTGTGTCAGTATTTTCTGCATCAGATCGCCGCACCACGCTGGAGAGAATCACCGCTACAGACCACGTCGATAACCAGCTACAACACACACACCGGATAGACACATCAAGTATAGGTACAGGTAAAAGTATGGGGGGACACCAGCGATGTACCATAGGTCAGCTGGTAATGCTTTTCCATACTAACTCTTAAGGAAAAAAAAAAGGGGGGAATTACAGGTTTTATACGAATTTACATAGACTGAAGCTTTCCAAATGGTCTAGAGTTTGCCTGTTATGCAATCGCGCAATCCTACCTTACGCCCCGCATCCAGTAAATACTAATATTAAAAATAATAATGTAGGGCATAAGTAGATTACAA